TGTAGAAGACGATGCTTTATATGATTTAAAAGATAAATTGGCGGCATGCGTTTGCTTTTGATAGATTCTCATCAAGCCTGTACGTTTATATCGCCGATCACATAACTGACTCCACTTTTATCCCCCCGTCCACGACAACCGCACGATTTTTTCTACCAAACCGTGTATGTCACTTTGTTAATAACAATATAAATATACAGGCCTGAAGAGCACTTGTCGGCAGGAAACCTATACTCGCAACTCATATGATTTAGCTAAAAATTCAGGAGACTTATTGCCATCTGTGAGAATAAATGTAGAAGGTGATGCACTGGAAAAAAATGTAGAACGTTGTTTTGTAACATCGGAAACTCTCCGTGCCTTGAAGTTTCGCACCGCATTTGACTCCCTGAAAAACCTCACCTAATCCGGTTTTTTGTGCCCTCTGTTTCAGCTTTGCAGTCGGCTCAGTCGCAACTGTTTGAATTCCAAACTCGTTATGAGGAGCTGCAGACGGCTAAGTAGGTTTCATTTCCCTGTCCACTTTTAACCCCTTCGATCTTTACTAGATCAAAGGAGGTAGAACTGCTTTTGGGCGACTTGGAAAAAGCCAATGAGGTGATTTCTCTCCTCTTACATGTTCAGATTTTCTTTAAGATTTTTCAGCATTGCTTTGTCTGAGAGAAACTAGCTAATCGGGTCTACCGACTGATTTGAGCAGCATACTGCACAATGTACATAAGTTTTGACTCTGTTGTATGCGTAACTGGGTAAACTTTTTACGAATAGATCAGAATATGCAAACTCCAAGTTCGTGTTTGAAAGAAGATGAAGGCGTGATTACTGGGTCAACAGTTTTATTTGTCTGAGCTCTCGGCTTCGTACAATAGACAATGAGCCTGTAGCAAAAATTGAAAAGTTTTGTAGTTCAGCTACGAGAAGAAATACAAGGGGGGGAGGTAGGTAGCTGAACTACAATACACGTCAATTCTTGCTATACATTCGTCGTCTCTGAAGATTGCCTCTCTTACGAAACCGAAAGCTCAGAAGAG